TTGGAGAGTAATGTTTCCAAGCAATTTCTGGCTCGATGCATTTCAAACCTCATTCCTCTTCCATTTCCCTCATGCTTCTGAAGTCCGATGCAAAGGACATGCGCGTGTTGCAGTAGGACCTTTCATCCCTTTGAGTTACAACTAGGGTAGTCAACTAGGGTGGGTTCTAGGGTTATTTCTAAAAGCCATTTTACACCGAGACAGCTAAGTAAAGCTTAATGATCTTACAAAATGACTGCAGATACTCCACTAGTTTCAACTAAATGTCCCCAACTCATCTTTCCACCAATGCTGTCTCATGGCTGGATTAGAGGTATAGCTCATGTGGTCAAACACCTGCCTAGCAAACATTTTAACCTCAGTTTAAACCCCACCACCACCACCAAAACCAAAAACAAAATGTCCATGGCTGCTCCAACCCTCTGTGCCACATGTTTCTTGGGTCTTAGAAAGGACCAGGCAACAGGGATGCTGACATTTCAACTTTGTTAACTACACAGTGAGTCAACCTCTAGTCTGAGTTCTTATTTCATAAACATTGATTGAGTAACATCTACTGGGTTGAAAGAGAAAAACCTAAATCAAGCAAAACTTCCATAGTGAAAGCTTCAAATCAGTTCAAATGACAAATAATGTCTTGGTGTGTCAGAGTAGCTCATCTTCCCATAGGCACCGGAGTGGTCCTTGCACTTTATTTGAGAGTTCTCAGAGAACCTCCATTCCTGTTACCACAAACTGGTTAGACTGGAAACATCGTCTCTGACTCCCTTCGCAGACAGAATGTGCTCATGCGAGATCCATGTGCAATGCATGCCCTAATGATCATCTACTTATGAACAAAGCAGCTTGCTGAAGTGGGCTGAGGAAACACCAGAAACTTTTCAACAGACAAAGTAAATATTTCCTGAATTTCTAGAGACAGACTTGCTGGCAAGATTTTCAAAACAAAAACATGAAAGCTAGTAAAACAAAACAAATAAGAGCAATAATTTCTCACTAAAATGAACTCCCTACCCAGGCATGGTATTCTTAAGACTACTAAAGCTGTGTATTCAGAAAAAAATTCTCCTTGTGTAGCAGTGTCCTATACTGAACAGAGTGTTCTGCAGATTAATCTCCTGAGAACAATCTGGTGGTCTAGTGACTCTGGCAGAGGCTGCAGGCTATATTCCATTTGGGGATTTATCATGCACCTTAACCAAATTAAAGGCTCCAAGGACCTTGAAATCAAAAACCTACTTGTCCTAGTACTTTCTGCAGTAATTTACCTTTTTTCCCCAAGAAACCTCTCATAAGATGCAGAGGAATTAGATTCACAGACTAAATTTTGAGTGCATTTCCTTGGCCTTGTTAGTGTTGAGGTTCTATATCAACCATTTCCCCATTACCAGTGTGTGCCAGTCACAGCTGACCTCCCTCTTCATCTTCATGCCCCAAAGCAGCCCTCAGGAAGTTAGCACTTGAGGATCCTTCTGACTAAAACTCTGTCCCTCCAAATACATATTGGCTGATTTCTTTACTTCATTCAAGTCTGGTCAGAATTTAACTCTTCAGCCTGGTGCTAGTCATCCCAGCTACTAGGAAATTTAGATCCAAGAATTGAGGTTGGTAGCCAACACAAGCAGAAAAGTATAATCGATTCCAACTCCAATTAACCAGTGTGTATGTATAAACAAACAAACAAATAAATAAATCTGGACTGTGGGCCTGTTCTCCAAGCTCATCTTATTACTCATAATACTTTCTTCCAATTTCCTGTTTTTTGGTGTCTGCACTGTAGGATTATTGCCAACTGATACTCCTTTAATTGACATAGCTAATGGGCAAAGTTCAAAGGGCCAAAGTCACAAGTGCCAAAGAAACACAGCCTCTCAAAAGCCATTCTTTAATACGCAGTGCTCTATTTGCATGCCAGCAATGCTCCATTGCAACAAAACATTATGAAAATAATTAAAACAAACTAGGTTTGATATTTTTGAGCATTGTAGCTTTGTTGTTCTGTGTTGTGTGTAGTTAGGGGTTTCTGATATCAGTGCTGATATCAGTGTTTTGGCACCTTCTGCTGATGAACTTCAGAACTTTCATTGCTCTACAGCAAGTCATTGCAATGAGTCATTCTTAATGACTCCATCAAACACATGCAGATGCCTGGTGGGTTTGGCATGTGCTTCAGTAGGTCACAGTTAGCTATGGTAGGCTTTGGGCCAGCTGTCACTAAGCATACAGTATAATAGATGGTATGACTATAGCTTCTGAGGAATTTTCTCCTAAATGCCATCTTTTGCAAATCAACAGTGGGAGAGACTAAAGAAATCAACAGGATGGAGAGAAAACAGGTGGGGCAGATACAATCATAATTTCAATGTATATGTATAAAAATGGAATTTGGGAATTTGAGGGGATGGGTGGCGCTGGGAGAGATGTGGGAGAAGAATGGAAGAGGTGACACTAAGCAAGCTGCACTGAACTCACACACTGATGTGTTGAAATCTCTTTGTTCATCTACTTAAATCGTTATGTCAAAAAACAAACTACAACTTTAGTGGTGGGGGGGTTGGGTTGGGGGAGGTGGGTAGGAGATGGGAAGGGATGGGAAGGGGGAAAGGAGGAGACAACAATGCTTGATAAGAAATGTACTTGCTCATGTAATTGTAACCCCTCTATATGGTATTTTCACAATAAAAAAAATTTAAATGAAATAAAATGGAGCAAAAAAATCACAGGGCACTTTTTTCATATAATGTCTACCCATTTTACCCAATGTAGATTTTATTTTCAGTATTAATTATTTCCACATGGCTTACTTAGATGTCCTTTCTTCAATCCACTCAGGAAAGTGGTACCTAAATGCTTCATTTCCCAAAGTCATGTCAGCTCATTCAGGTCCGTGATCAAAGAGCTCTGATTGATCGCTCTTACCCCAGTAGCATAGTTCTTAGCAAGGCATCTCACAGTCTATAAGCTGTAAAATGCCACCACATTTTTCTTTTTTTGTTTTATTGTTATTATAAAGGTGATGTACAGAAGGGTTACAGTTGCATAGGTCGGGTAAATTGTACATTTCTTTTTGGATAATGTCACCTCTTCCTTCCCTCAGTCTTTCCTAGTTTTTCCCTCCCAACTTCAACTCTTAAGATATTCTGGCTTGAATCCTTTGTGATTCAGTTACTTTCAAGTATTCCTTTTCCTCCATTAATCTTGCTTGCCTATTACCTTGTGTGTGCTTCCCAACCCTCAGATTTGGCTCTGATGTTATCTTCTTAATGAACTCAGCCCAGTTCCCTGACAGGGAATTAATCTCTCTTCGGAGTTTCTCTTGCACTTTGTTCTTATGTTGATCTGGGAGTTAGCAGTATTGTCAGTTCCATGTTTACCTTTTTCCCTTACTTACTTCAGGGCAAGCATTCAACTTAGCCTTGCAAAATGGAATGAAACAGCAAAGAAAACATAACAGTCTAACAGCTGTCTAACATCTCCCTGGTAATGTCACCTGCTCATGGAGTGTTTTTTGAAGATTGACACTTTACCAATTAGCTTTCTGTTCAAGCTGAAAAAGCCTCAGAAAACCATCTCAACAGCAAGCATATGAGGACAATGGGAGCAACACCATCATTCATGGGGTGGGGAGTCGAAGGCAAACAAAGTACAATGAGTGCAGACTTAATCTCAAGTGTGTTCATTTGGAAATGAAGATATCTGTCTTCGAAGAGGAAAGCTGCTTATGATTTCCTTCTCAGTCCACCAGTCAGTCCTACAATCTTATGGTGCTCAGGCACTGACTACCTGGCTACACATCATCTCCAATGAAGAACGCTGGAGGTCCTGACAACAGCTCATCCGAGATGGGCTATGCTGTCCAGAGGGGCACAGGTAGGGCAAGGGTGTCAGGGCCCTCAGACTTACCTCCAAGAGATCATTGGAGTGGAAAATTAAGTTTACTAGCTTAGCATATCTGGAATTTTTTTGTTTTTACACACGTAATCCAAGATAACAACAGAGTCAACAAGTTAGTGTCCATTTTTAACATCCACCAGTCTGTTATTCTTTTTCTACAAAACTCACATCACTTCCACAAATAAGTGTGAACGGAGCAGAGATGACAGTGGGAGCTATGGCTGCAAGCAAAGATGGATGTGTCAAGGGCACCATCCACACCACCAATGCCACTTGACGCTGTACTCTCTGTTGTAAGGGACCCCATTTTACTTACCTTTTCTTTGTATATATCTAGCCCACAAGTTGGATTCTATCAGAATTAAATGCTCATTAAAAAATGAATAAGTCATGCTAGATGCGAGTGGCTCACCCACTGTAATCCTAGCTACTCAGGAGGCTGAAATCTGAAGACCACAGTTTGAAGCCAGCCCAGGTAGAAAGGTCTGCAAGACTCCATCTCCAATTAATCAACAAAACACCTGGACTTCAGGCATGGCTTAAACAGAACTCCAGCCCTAAGCCAGAAACCGCAGAGAAAACACAAGGCTCCAAGTTCAAGCCCTAATTCTGGGGTGGGGAGGGGTAGAAATAAAGAATAAAAATTCAAAAAGAATGAAAGAATAAATCAATGCTCCATTCAGAGAAGTACTCCAAATATAGTACACAGGGAAGAGAGAGTTTTTAGAGCTGGAAAGAATCTTGTTTATCCCTCTTTGGTACTTGTTAGATCAGCAATGTGTAAGTAAAAATTCACACCTTTCTAGAGGTATTAGCAGGAATATTAAGTGATTTTTAACTGTCAAATGTAGGAAATGTTAAAAAGAAGTTTTTTTTTTCTATTTGGGAATACACAAGAAGAAGACACATCAGGAATGAGGTTTACTTGAAGTCTAGTGTTTCTCAGTAAATGAATACAAAGCTTCCTGGGGTCATCCTATTCCTCCTAGATAAATACTCATCTCCACAAAGGCTTGGGGGATTTGCCTTTCTATTCCTCTACATTTTGAAACTGAGTTACAGTGTAACCTGCCGGTAGTCCTGTCTGAATTCATGGTGCTATTTAGACAGAGCAAAGTCCACAGAAAGTTCCCCTGACATGCAAAGGCCAGAGCCCCAGAAGAAAACAGGTGCGGACTCTGAGCAGGGCTGCTGAGTCCCAGGTGTGAGTCCTACTGTGCCAGCAGAGTCTATGCCTCCAGCAATGAGTTCTGCGCTTTCAGAATTTTTGAAGGAGCTTCCTGGTACATTCCTGTTCTTGGGGATCTTCCTGCCTGTGGCTTTGCTGCTGTTCCTTCTCATTGCCTACTTTAGGATCAAACTGATTGAGGGTAAGTTCAAGGCCACACACGGAAAGGCTCAGATATCTTTTCCCACAGCACACCTCACGAACACCCAATGCACCCGCCGTGTTCTGGGGAGGTCTGGAGAAACACAACCTAAGTCCTCTCTTGGGACACTGGGCAAGTTCCTTTTAGTTCCATAGACTGTGTGCTAGGATGTGAATGTTTGCTAAGTCCCTCACAAACTGTGAATCGGCAGTTCGGGCAAGGGGTTGCTTGCCTGTCTTTTAAGGGAACAGATTCACAAACATTAAAATATTCAGGATCTACCTTCTCTCTGACAGATGAATCCTGTCTGGCACAGCTACCCATGTGCTTTTCTCCATGTGTACACACCCATGATTGTGTATTCATACACACTTCTTTCCCAGCCAGGACGTGTTGCACACATTGTTTGGTAAATGTAAAGCTCTAAAAGACAGATGATCGATCTTGGAATAGATTCCTGATGAGAGAATAGTGTTAAAGTGGAGGGAAAAGAAAGGGAGGGGAGGGGAAGAGAAAGGAGGCGAGGGAAGGGAATTGAGATTTTTATTCTGGTAAAATTAAAACACAAAAATGAGCTGTTAATCTTGTACCAAATAAATACTCCATACCATAGAGGTTAACAACTATTTTAGCAATATCAACAAAAATCAATGTATTTTTAAATTTTGAAGAGGTCATATTAAAACGACTTAAAAGCTTGAAAACCCCCTCCTCTTTCACAAAGATGAGCCAAGTCTATGCGATGCCTTTGTGGCTATTGCTAGGTATCTTCAATCACTAATACTATGATATGTAACCTAAAGTCTAGCAACAGAGCAATAAGGATGAGAATTAGAACATACACATATCCTAGGGGACATAGAATAACTTACAGAATCACAAGTTCTCCATTATAACTTACTCAAAAACTCCGTCGCCTTTTATTTTGTGTGTCTCTTTTTGATGCACAGCTCTCGTGTTGGGTGGTTATTTTTTTAGCTGTTAATATTTTTAGTGCTTTTGTCAAATACTTGTAGAAAGGGTTTCAGTTAAACATCAAGTTGGGTGTGCAATGCATCACTCCCTCAGTTTATCCCAGCGCCTCCCGTCTCAAGTTTGCTAGTTTGGTTTTCATGTCTGTACATAGTTAGATGGGTATATTCACCCACCATTCCTCTTTTCATGCATCCAAGTTATAATCTGCCTCACTCTGCAGGACACAGATGACAAATTCTTTCCTTAATTAACTCAATTCATCCTTCACTGCCCAAGACCAGTCTGTTGGACATGCTGCCATCCAGCCATGCATGCCTACTAAGCCCTACAAAAAGCTTCCCAAAAAAGAGAGAGAATGAGAAAGGTGTGGAATCTTAACTACATCTTCCCTTCAGCCTTCCATGTACCTTAAGACCCAGCACATTTGCTTTTACAGTTTTTGCAATGGCCACTCTTAGCTACATGTATCCCAGGATCCCATTGACTCCAAGTACCCTAGGGAGAAATAAAACAATGCGGCTGTCACAGTTAGAAACTTGAATGTTTCATGCAGTTTCTGGACTTTATCTCTAGCTGCTTCTTTGGAAAGACAAAATTTTCAGATCAAAAAAATGTATCAAGCACGAAATAAGGCGAAGAACAGGTCAAGACTTTTCAAAGGCTTTACTGGCTTCTGCTCATCAGTAATTATAGGTCTGATAATCCTGTGGCGCAGCTGGCATTTGGAACAGACTGCAAAGTAGAGATTTCCTTATCTCTGGGAAAGCATCTATAATATGTAGGCATGAATTAGTTTACAGTATTCTAGCTAGATAGATAAAATTAAAAGCATGTCAGACACATTCCTTCAAAGTGCTCTGGAAAAGCCATCTTGGATTTGGAAGTGTGGTCTGATGTCCTGGAAGGCAGGTCCAGGAGAAAATGCACAGAAAGCACTGGTCATCCCTGACCCTTGGTGAAGACTATGCCAAGTTCCAAGCACCTCATGGTAAGAGGAGCTCCTCTAAGAGGCAAGGCTGACTTGTTTTCTATAACAGATCTGGTCTCATTAACCCATGCACTCACTCATGAAGCAGAGTTCTCATGACCCAATCACTTCCTAGAGGTCCTGTCTGGATCTTAATGTCCTGAGGTCTTAATACCTCTCCAAAGGGGAATAAGTTTCCACATAAGCTTCAGTATAGAACTAAAACATAGCTACCAAATAACAGAAGATTACCTTAGACACCAGAGCAGACCTTATCTATGGACTTTCAAGACGGAGAAAAAGTCATCTGACTCTTTCAGAAACCACAAAAGGTACTGAACAAACATCATCCGCAGTTAGCAGTGTTAGAAATATGAATATTTTTGATGTTGGTCTTAGTCTACATATAGTCAAAGACTATATGTAGTCAAACCTGTCCTTTCTACTATGTCTTTTAATAAATGTCAGAGTGAAGACAGGATCCTCACCAGGCACTTCTGTCTCATGCCTGTAATCCTAATTACTCAGGAGGCTGAAATCTGAGGACCAGAGTTCCGAGCCAGTCCACTCAGTAAAGTACAAGAGATTTTAACAATTAACTACCAGAAAACTGGAATTAGTGCTGTGGTTCAATGTGGTAGAGGACTAGCCTTAAGCAAAAGAGCCCACGCCCCAAGTTCAAGCCCCACAACCAAGAGAGAGAGAGAGAGAGAGAGATTCCTTTAAACAGCTAACTGGTACCCCTGCAGTGGGATGAGCCACCTTTTCCATTGTCATCTACTTGGGTCTGGCTGGCTCTCACTTAACTGTGCCTGGAACTTACATTCTACAAAGTGTGGGCACCATTTCCTGCAGCATAATAGTGTTATGACTATTCATCAGCCATTAAAAACAATGCAAGTCTCATCTGAAACTTACTGTTTAAATATTATAGTTCTTTCTGGAGACATTTTCCCATGGATAATTAGTAATATTCTCTCTCTCTCATTTGTGAGGACAAATGAAATCCCAAAATAAAATATCACCAGTTTGTATCTCCATTTAGCAACAGCCACTTAAAAAGTGTAAACAGATGGGCAAATGTCATGTCTTTCATCTTCCAACCAGGGCTATAGCAAGCGTAACTATTCCTGTTTTGTTCACATAAAGAGAAGGACATTGACAGATTAACTGGTTGCTCACAGAACCCCAAGCCCTCCAATCTAAAACAAGAAACTAGTTTGCCTGTCTCATATACATGCTAGACTTTCAGACTAGGGGGCCATTTTAAGATGTGAGGGAGAGCAGTGGAGGTACTGTAATCATTCAACATTAATCCCTGTTCTTCAAGCTTCTGGAGGTAATGGTACATGTAAATTTAATTAGTTAAGTAGAGAACATCCATTTTCTCACAGAGGAAGAAAGAAAATTGCCTAACATCCTGTACTCTACAGTCTGTCAATTGTGTTGTTAAGTAACCCAGGTCTGACTCTTGAACTTTCCATAGCCAAACCTTCCTTCTGACATTTCCTAGAGTGAAAGTGAGTCCCAACACTCAAAAACTTCTAGTGTTACCTAGCCTCTAACCTATCATCACCCCGATCAAGAACAAATCATTCTTTAAAAGGACCAACAATGTCACCAGGTGTCAGTGGCTCATGCCTGTAATCCTAGCTACTCAGGAGGCTCAGAGCTAAGGATTGTGGTTCAAAGCCAGCCTGAGCAGGAAATTCAATGAGACTTTTATCTCCAATAAAAATCACTCAGAAAACTAGAAGTGGTGCTGTGGCTCAAGTGGTAGAGTGCTTACCTTGAGCTGAGGAGCTGAGGGATAGTTCCTAGGCCCAGAGTTCAAGCCCCACAACCAACAACAACAACAAAAAGGACCAACAATGTCACCGATAATCATTAATAAAAACAATTGGGGAAGTGACATGGCTCAATGTGGTAGAGGACTAGCCTTGAAAAAAAAAAAGAGCTTGGGAATAGCACTCAAGCCCCAAGTTCAAGCCCTATGACCAAACAAAACAATAAAAACAAACAAAAAATGGGTCTATTGAGCACCTTGAAGTTAGGTCTAAAATAAGGGAAGATAATTAGTCAAGATCAAGGTTTCAAGCTGGGCACCAGTGGCTCACACCTGTAATCCTAGTTACTCAGGAGGATGAGATCAGAGGATTGAGGTTTAAAGCCAGCCAGGGCAGGAAAGTCCGTGAGACTCTTATCTCCAATAAACCACTAGGAAACCAGAAGTGGCACTGTGGCTCAAGCAGTAGAGCGCTCGCCTTGAGCTGAAAAGCAGAGGGACATTGCCCAAGCGCAGAGTTCAAGCCCCATAACCAACCCCCCCCCCAAAAAAGATCAGGGTTTCAGCAACTTGTACTCTAAAACAGACAACTAGAGTGCTGAAATTGCACCAGGTCGCTAGGCATCTTTCACTGAAAGTCATATGTGCATTTTAGTCATCAGCAATCATAAAGGGAAAAAGGAATTCTTTGGAAAGAACAGAATAACTTGAAATATAGCAGAATGTCATTGCTAAGAGCTCAGACATTGGAGTAAAATTATCTATGGTTTGAACTCCAGCTCTGTAACAAAGATGAAGCTTCCTCGCCCACAAAATAACAGTAGAGCACAGCTATGGCATTGGTGCACACACAGGTGTTTAATAATGCCCATGTCAACACTTGCCATTATCCTTCTGTCTTGTATATCCCAGGAAGGAAGCATTTGTGTCATTATGATAGTTATTAAAATAGTCTCAGAATAATTCAGTAAAGCACCCTGAGCCACTCACCTCAAAAGTACTACACTGGACTTAAGCCCTGGAGTTTTGACTACTAGACAGGATGGATTTATTAATTGATGAGTTTTCCTGTTCCTTCTATTCTAGTTCTCTACTCAGTTTCCTCACTCACTCATTATCCAAGTTATATATGTTCACCTCTACTCTTTGTACCCAGGTCACTCACTTGAAGGATCAGCTGTGTAGTTAAAGAAATCACTCCTATTTCACTGGGTCTATACTCTAAGAATGGGGCCATGTTAAAGGAGTATCTTCCAAATAGCAAACCACCTGTATGGCAAGACAATGTGACCCAGTTGCTAAAGTCAGGCTGTCTGGGATCATATGCTGGATCCTTGAGTTTCTTTGGTGTTGGGGAAATTGCTTCATTTTGATAGCCGTCTGCTCAGGCTACTAATCAATAAGTTAAGAATAATAATGGTGGGCTGGAAAGGTGGTTCAGTGGTAGGGCATTTGCCTTGCATGCCTGAGGCCCTGGGTTCGATTCCTCAGCACCACATGAGCAAAAAAAAAAAAACGGAAGTGGCACTGTGACTCAAGTGGTAGTGTGCTAGCATTGAGCTGAAGAGCTGAGGGACAGTGCCCAGGCCCAGAGTTCAAGCCCCATGACCGGACCCCTCCCAAAAAAGAATAATAATGGTGTCCAACTGGGACCATAATGACAAGAATGAAAGGGCTTTGCAGTATGCCTGGTAGCAGCAAGTTCATAAGAGATACTGGCAAGTAAATCTTCAGGCTTAAATATATGGACTTTCTCCTGAGTAAGATAAGCATTTGTGGAAGCCTAGAATATGTAGATATGTGTTTCCTGGGTGGATGGCTTATAAAGTACTAGACTAGAAATAAATTGCATAGACTTGATGTGGAAGACAGAAAGTTTTATAAATATGTTGAAATTGGTATGGCGATGTATGCGGGTGATATCAGCACTCAGGAGGCTGAGGCAAGAGCATCATGAGCCAGTCTGGATTACATATGGAGACCATGTCTCAAAACACAACCAACTAAGAATATGTTTATTGAGCATTAGAAGCTCAGTTTCTGGCTTAATTGTATTTTGAAAACAAAACTTTTGAAAGCAAAAGCATGATCAGCTAACCATAGGTGTTGGTGAAAGTCAAGAAAACATGTTGAGAACAGGTATCAAAGCTGAGAATCAAATTTGGCTACTGCCAGAGACACTAGTTAAAGAAGCTACAGGAAGAATTCACAGGAAGACAATGTACAATAGAATCAGAGAAAGGGAATTGGGAAAATGTTTCAATAGGTCAAAAATAAAAGTCAATTAACACTCTTTAATATGTTAGTAGCTTTACTTTGAAATAATATTATAGGGAATTAAGTACTATATAGCTTGCAAAAAGTTGAAGCAGTCAGTCATCAGTAAAAGATGCCAAAAGGTAAGAGGGGTAAGACTAATTTGGCTTGCCTAAAAACTGTAAGTGCTCAAATACATTTTGGGGAAGGAGCAGTAGCACTGCTATTTTACTCATGTCCATATCTTCCACTCATGGCTTAATCAACACAATCTGCCAAATATGCTGTTCTCGGCATGTAACAATTACAACAGTAGTCATTTGTCCACAATATGTGGCTGAAGAGGTAAGAGTATCTAGAACAGAACTTGCTCTGAAAACCTGGGTTTCTGTTAAACCACTAGGGCCACCACAGCTGGAAATGCTGGCCAGTAACTGCCACTTATACACTGTAAGGCATCAGTAACACTCAATTGTCTCCAAATCACTAATAGATATTTTTCTTTTCAGTTAATGAAGAACTGTGGCAGATTGCTGACTGCCAATACAAACACAAGGATGGCTCTTCCTGTACCAGAGAAAGGAACAAACACAAATGCTGGGACCCATCAAAGGCTAAAGCACAATGAATATCTACTCATCACTGAGCAATGGTTAACCATTTAGCTACAAAGTTGGTTGCTAAACTAGAACCACAGCAAAGAAAGATTAAGATGCCTCCTCAGAACCACACTGAAAAGTGATGTCGAGGACCCATGAGGACCTCTGGGAGACTCTGCTTCTACAGCTATGCTTCTGCAAGTACAAAGAACATAAAGGTTTACTTGGGTATTCTCAATGGACTGGACATCTTATAACTTTTTAACTTTCACTGTTACCATGTTTACTCTGAAAAAAGTATTTTGTAAAATAAAAATCTGTAGACATCATTGCCTACAATAAACCTGACTTATTTACAGATTATACAGGGTTCTGACCAAGAATAGTCAAAAAATAATCAAGAAAATGCAAAAAACAAAAACAAACAAACCCAAAAACCGTTTTAATTCTCATGTGCACATTTCTTCTATTGATGCAAAGCTCTCAGGCCCACATGAGCACCTGTTAGTTGTATTCAAATTGCCATGGAATCCAATGTTTTTTTTACTTTTCATTTCCTGAAAATCGGCCTCCCAGAAAGCAAATAGTGCCCAATGTGCTCAATTTAAATAGCAACATAAAAAATTGAGATTTATTAAAGATAACCAACCTTCATTAGGGGAATTCAGCAGTGTTGTGGGGAAAATGAATCAAGCAGCTGTAGTAGTGCACTGAACTCTCTGTATCCTAAGAGCCCTCAGTATGGAAAAAAGTTTTCTTGGAACTACATATACCCAATGCCAAGAGCCAACTATAATTCTATAGAAACCCACCTGATTCTGATTTTACAGGGGAACAAAATCTGGGAAAGGGCAAATCAATAGCAAGAGCATGTATGGGCAACCTATATATGCAAGATCCATCCTACCTGCTCTCCTACAGGCTGGCAATTCTTCCATGAAACCACATCTCCATTTTCTTTTTTGTTTTTTTTTAATGTTTTTTAATTGTAAAAATACTGTACAGAGGGGTTACAGTTACATGAGTAATGAGTACATTTCCTATCGGGCATTGTTTACCTCCTCCTTTGTTTTTCCCCTACCATCCCTTCCCATCTCACCTCTCCAACTCCACCCTCCCCGCCCCCAAGTTGTAAAGTTCATTTTCAACATAGTGTCTTGTACATCTCATTGTTACAATGGGTTAACCTATAGCCTTATTTCAGCATTTTGTATTTCCCTTCCCTTCCCCAAATTAGAAAAATGTATACAGAAGATACAGGGCACCGACATCAAATACAGTGAAAATAGGGGTTAAACTGTGGGGGAAGAACATACAAGAGAAACAAAAAAATCACATAGTACATTTTAAATACGTTAAAAACAAAAGCAAGCAAGAAAAAACCACTTGTGTCCCTATCTTGAGCTTCATTTCACTTAACAGAATCTTATATGGTCATATGTACAAAGCTTATGACTCCTTTTCTGCTTGTCCTAGACTTACACTAGTTATTGCAAATAAGGCAAGCCATGGGACTTATGTTTCTTTGGGCATGGCTTACTTCACTTAGTATAATTTTTCCCAAGTCTTTCCATTTCCTTAAAATGGGGCAATGTCATTCTTTCTGGTGGAGGCAGAGAATTCCATGGTATAAATATACCACATTTTCTTGATCCATTTATCTACGGAGGGACATTTGGATTGGTTTTCTATCTTAGCTATGGTAAATAATGCTGTGATAAACATAGGTGTGCTGATAACTTTAGTATAACCTTGTGTGTGATCGTTTGGGTAAATGCCCCAAAGATCATAGGGGAGCTCTATGTGGAGACTTTTGAGGAACCTCCATACTACTTTCCAAAGTGGTTGAACAAGTTTACATTCCCACCAACAATGGAATAGGGTTCCCTTCTGTCCACATCCCCTCCAGCATCTGTTGTTATTAGAGTTCTTCATTATAGCCATTCTAACTGGGGTGAGGTGGAATCTCAATGTTGTTCTGATTTGCATTTCTTTTGTGGCTAGAGAAGTTGAGCATTTCTTCATGTGTCTATTGGCCACTCTTTAAATCTTTAGCCCACTTATTTATTGTGCAGTTGTTTCTTTGAGGATTTGTTGTTGGAGGAAGCAGTTTTCTGAGTTCTAACTATATTTTAGATATGAGACAATTGTCCGTTTTATGGCTAGTGAAGATCTTCTCCCAATCCATGGGCTTTCTATTGAACTTGCTAGCTATGTCCTTTGCCATGCAAAAGCTCCACAGTTTTATGCAATCCTATTTATCCAACCTTTCTTTGATTTGTTGTGTTTCTGGGTCTCTATTAAGAAAATTTCAACAAAGTGCCAAGGAGCCCTAGAGTTTCTCCTACTCCTTCCTGTAATGTTTTCAGTGTGTCTGCTTTGACTTCGAGGTCTTTGATCCATTTGGAATTGATTCTGGTACAGGGTGATATAAAAGGATCTAGCTTTAGTTTTCTTTTTTTTCTTTTCTTTCTTTTTTTTTTTTTTGCCGGTCATGGGGCCTGAACTCTGGGTCTGGGCGCTGTCCCTCACCTCTTCAGTTCAAGGCTAGTGCTCTACCACTGGAGCCACAGCGCCACTTCCGGCCTTTTCTGTTTATGTGGTACTGAGGAATCGAACCCAGGGCCTCATGCTTGCAAGGCATGCACTCTACGGCTGAGCTACCTTCCCAGCCCTAGCTTTAGTTTTCTACAGGTGTTTAACCAAATTTTCCAGCATCATTTACTGAAGAGGCTATCTTTCTTCCATTCTATTTTTTAGCTCCCATATCGAAGATTAGGTGGCTTTAGTTCTGTGGGTTCATTTCTGGATCTTCAATTCTATTTCCATTGGTCCTGAGGTCTGTTCTTGTGCCAGTACCAAGCTGTTTTGATTATTATGGCTTTGTATTAGAGTTTGAAATTTCGTATTGATGTTCCTCCAGTACTGTTCTTTCTGTTAAGGATTGTTTTTGCTATTCAGGGTCTTTTATTGTTCCGTATGAATTTTTGGATTGAAGAACGAGGTTGGAATATTTATAGGTATCACATTGAATTTGTAGATAGCCTTTGGCAGTATTGCCATTTTCACGATGTTAATCCTCACAATCCAGGAACATGGGAGGTTTTTCCACTTCCTAAGTTCTGCTTTAATTTGCTTTTTTTTTTAGCAAGTTTTCATAGTAAAGGTCCTTCACTTCTTTAGTTAACTCCTAGGTATTTTATTTTTTGTGGGACTATTACAAAATGAGTTGCTTTCCTGATTTCAGCTGCGCTCTTCTCATTGTTGGTATACAGAAAAACCATTGACTTTTGAGGGTTAATTTTATACCCTGCTACTTTGCCAAAGTTTCGAATCAGCTCCTATAATTTGGGAGTGGTGTCCATGAAATTTTTAAAATACACGATCATGTTATCTGCAAAGAGGGAGAGTTTTATTTCATCTTTCCCTATTTGGGGAAATTTATTTCATCTTTCCCTATTTGCATCTTTTCTTATTGCTGTAACTAGGCATTCTAATACTAAGTTGAAGAAAAGTGGAGAGAGTGGACATCCTTGTCTCGTTCCTGAGTTTAGAGAAAATATCTTTAGTTTTTCACCACTATAGGTGGCTATAGGTTTGTCATACACAGCCTTTATTATATTGAGGATGTTCCATGGATTCCTAGTTTTTCCAGCACCTTCATCATAAAGGAGTGTTGGATCTTGTCAAATGCTATTTCTGCCTCTATTGAGATAATCATGCAGGGTTTTTTTTGTTTTTTTGGGTTTTTTTGTTTTATTTTTGGTCAGCCATGGGGCTTGAACTCTGGGCCTGGGCGCTGTCCCTCAGCTCTTCAGCTCAAGGCGAGCACTCTACCACTTGAGCTACAGCACCACTTCCGGTTTTCTGGTGGTTTATTGGAGATAGGAGTCTCACGGTCTCTTCTGCCCGGGCTGGCTTTGAACCACGATCCTCAGATCTCAGCCTCCTGAGTGGCTAGGATTACAGGCGTGAGCCACCGGCGCCCGGCAATTCATGCAGTTCTTCTCCTAGCTCTCGTTGATATGATGAATTATATTGATTTGTGTATATTGAACCAGCTTTGCATCCCTAAAAAGAAACCTGTTTGATCATGGTGTATGATTTTTTTGATGAGTTGTTGAAGCTGATTGGCCAAAATTTTGTTCAGAAGTTTCCCATCAAAGAAATGGGCCTATAGTTCTTTGATGAGTCCCTGCCTGGTTTTGGGATGAGGGTTATGATGGCTTCATAGAAAGAGTTCAGTAGTGAACTTTCACTTTCAATTTCATTGAAGGGTTGGAGGAGTATTGGTGTGAGTTCTGCTTCGAAGACCTTGTAGAATTCTGCTGTAAATCCATCTGGTCCTGGGCTTTTCTTAGATGGGAGGTCTCACTGCTGTTTCTATTTCATTGCTTGATATGGGTCTGTTAAGTTGGTTTAACTCAGTTTAGTTTCTGCATGTAGATATTTTCTAGGAAATCGTCCATTTCTTCCAGATTCTCAAACTTATTAGCATAAAGGTTTGAGAAGTATTCCCTTATAATGTTCTGAATCTTGGTTGTTTCTGTGGTGATGTTTCCATTCTCATCTCTGTGTTTATTTGGGTATGTTCACTTTTTTTTCTGATAATATTTGCTAAGGGTCTGTCAATTTTGTGAATTTTTTCAAAGAACCAACTCTTTGTTTTGTTGATTCTCTCTATGGTTTTTTGGATTCTAATTCATATAATCCTGATTTAATTTTAATTATTTCTTTCCATCTACTGTATTGGAGTTTAGCTTGTTGCTCTTTTTCAAGGAGCTCCAGGTGTCTCATTAAATTGTTGGTTTCAGATCTCTCCAATTTGTTGATATAGGAATTCAGAGTTATAAATTTGCCTCTGAATACTGCCTTTGTTGTGTCCCAGAGGAGCTGGTAATTTGTGTGTTCATTTTTGTTGAATATCATGAGCACTTGAATTTCCTTTCTAATCTCTTCCATCACCCACTGGTGGTTCAACAGTGTGTTGTTCAGCCTCCACGTGTTACACAACTTTCTGGCTTTTGGTGTTTTCTAATTTTATTCCCTTGTGGTCTGAGAGAATGCAGGCCATAATTTCCATGTTTCTAAAAGGACAAATTTGCTTTATGACCTAGAATTTGGTCTATTTTGGAGAATGCTCCATGTGCTTCTGAGAAGAATGTGTATTCCGATGCTGTTGGGTAAAATATTTGGTAGATATGTTAAGTCTAGTGGATCTATGCAGTTGTTTAGATCTGAGATTTCTCTGTTGAGTTTTTGCAGGGTTGAT